AAACAATTCATTTAGACGCTTGCCCCAGTCACTTATTTTGGGTAACCACCATGAGTTCTGCATAGCCCTTCAATAAACTGTTCCCTGCCCAGGTGACGTGTACCTAGGTGACTCAGGTCTCCATAAGTTAAACACGCTTCTCCCTTTTCAGCTCCTCCACCCCACCACTCAGTGCTCTGTGCACTGGTCTGGCCCCAATTCCAAGCTGATAGTATTGGCTTAAGAAAGCAAGGCCGGGTGGGGCGGGTTGAGAAGGAAGTCAGAGGCCACCAGCCATGGAAAGAGGCAGGTGGGGCTGTCACTGCTTAAAGATCTCACACTCTGGGTGTGTTTTATGACTGTTTCTGGATTTGAAATCTCCTCTTTGTGACCATTCCAGTGACTCATGCTTTTCCTACTTCCTTCTCATTACGCTTACTGTTCCTAGTACACCTTATTTATGGCCAAGAATGGCTGGGCAAATAGTTGACAGTGGAGTAAAAATGACTTTATGATGGCTGGGAACCTGGACCTATTTTTTCTCCAAAAAGACTGAGGTTCATAAAAGCTAGTTCTTATTCAGGTCTGCGCAGTTGTGAGTGTGGTGTTAGGGAACAGCTGCATAAGTGAAGGGTGAGACAGAAAACAAAATGCTGGCTGTTTGTCAAATCCTGAAAGTAGAGGGGGCAAAAATCATTCTGGAAGGGGGATGTCATTCAGGAGACCTTGGAAATCTTAGGGTGTCCTCTGCCCAGATGGGGAGGGGAATGAGGTTAAATTATGGGGCTGGGTGATAATGGGTACACTACTTCACGTCTCTGCCTCAGTTTAAAAAATCTGTAAAAAACGGGATGGTGGCACTCAGGATGTTTTGTGAGGACTGTGCTAGCTGGAGGGCTCTTAGGATAGTGCCTGGTGCATAGTGAGTGCTGCATCAGTCTGAGCTATTATAATTATGGGAATAGGCAAAGGTGCCACCCTGGGCATGGAGGATGGGGAGGTATTTCCCAGCCATAGTCCTGGCAGGCAAGCTGGAGATGAAGATGGTGAAGGGGGAAGCTTAACCTCCAGGAATGGAAGGATTGGGAAACAGTAACTCATGCACAACATTCTGTGAAAATGCAGCAGGTATACTTGGAGTGGGTGTGGCTTCTGTCACAGTTATTACCTCCTGGAGTCTAGAATGTGTCCTAGAGTCAAATGATTTTTCTAAAAGCCAAGCCTAGAAACAGGTTTCTGGGGTGCCTTGCAAATTAGCATTCTTTACGCCAAAAGAAAGCATTTATCTTTTTAAAGGGAAGCATTCATCTTGCTAAAGGAATCCCCTCTTTTGGCCCAGCTCATTATTTTTGTACTATCCAAATGCATAAGGTGTTAAGAGAAAGACTGAAGAAGAGTGAAATAAGTAAGTGCATGTATAAATTAACAGGGCAGAATTGGGACTGGTATGTGTAAATTAAGAGGAAACATGTATAGGTTTTACATGAACATAAAAAGGACTTGTTTTAACCAGACATTTCCATATAAATAATGTGGGCTGTCTCTCGTGGATAACAGACTTCATCACGAGAACATTCCAGCAGAATCATGAGAGAACGGGAAGTGTGGCTTCTTTCCTAACTGGCAGCTTGAAGAGCTGTTGTAAGTAAGTCACTGAAGAGAAAGGAGATGAAGGAGCAGATGGATGAGGGTGACAGAAATAGGACGGTGAAAGTAAAGAACTGCAAAGAATGTTTACCGAGGGCTCATCAGGTACCAGGCTCTGTGTCTAATGCCTTACACATCTTAGTTTACCCTTTCATGTAAATTTTCTGATGCAGTAAGAATCACTCTTGTGCTTCAGATGAGAAGAGGCTGAGAGAGGTGGAGTGAGTGGTCCAGGGTCATCCAGCCAGTTCATAGCAGAGCTGGTGTGTTTCACCCTCAACTTTGTGCACAGACAGAAAAGTGAGACACAGAAGGCAGGCAAAGTAAATTTTTCTTGTGGGTGAAGTTTATAAAAGGTACCTGTGTTGGGCAGAATAATGACCTCCTAAAAATGTCCACATCCTAATCCCTGGAGCCAAGGCATAATACTTTTATTTGGCAAAAAGACTTTCCAGATGTGATGAGGTTAAGAATCTTGAGATGGGAGGTTATTCTGGATTATCTGCGTGGGCTCAGTGTAATCAGAAGGGTCCTTGTAAGGGAAAGAGGAAGGCAGGAGGGTCAGGGTGAGAATGATGCAACCTGAGAGACTCCACTGGCCATTGCTGGCTGTGAACTCATATCAAAAGACAAAATTACAGCAGCTTTAGTTATAAATCTAATTGGCTTTTATTTGGGATTTATAATTTGGGGCAGGTCCCACTTTACAAATACAGTGCTAGTTCCCCTTTGGCAATACAATAACAGAACAGTGGGTTTTGTCAAATTTGAACAAGAAAAGAGAGCAGTAGAAATAAATGTATTGTTAACATCAGGTTAATTCAGGTTACTTTTTTATAAAAATGAAAGTAAAGGGGACCTCGAGTAGATTGGAATCTCTCTTCTTTTTTTTTTTTTTCCTGAGGTGGAGTCTCACTCTGTCATCCAGGCTGGAGTGCAGTGGTGCAATCTCAGCTCACTGCAATCTTTGCTTCCCAAGTTCAAGCAATTCTCCTGCTTCAGCCTCCTGAATAGCTGGGATTACAGGTGTGTGCCACCACACCCAGCTAATTTTTGTATTTCTAGTAGAGACGGGATTTCACCATGTTGGTCAGGCTGGTGTCAAACTCCTGTCCTCGTTATCCGCCTGCCTCGCCCTCCCAAAGTGCTGGGATTATAGGCGTTAGCCACTGTGCCCGGCCATTTTTTTTTTTTCTTTTTTTTTATTGGTCTGTTTTGGGATCTATCTGCTTTCTTAAAATTTCAGTTGGAGAATGTAACTTTTAACATCAGTGGCCCTATTTTGGAGTCTCTATGCACTCACTTAGGTGAGAGTGTGACCAAAACTTAAAACATTGACATTACTCTCAGCTACCATCATTTTGGGCTTCCATCATTCATAGGTTATGATGTCTTCCTGATCACACATTCCTTTCAGTTTTGTCACCAACCAAAGAGAGACCATTTGACATTTGATGGATAGCTGCATGCAAACATTTAAAGCTTTTAGAGATTACAGCACACCAGGGAGACTACTAGTGTGACTATCGGGAGAATAATACCAAGAGTTTGGATTATGCACCTTAGGCAAGATGCAAACCAACTAAAAAGGAATAAAGAATGAGCCAGATGAATCTACCCATTTTAACCAAGCAGGATGTTTGTTAATTTCTGCAACTGAGTCTCTATATACCCATTGTATTTATTTATGTGCAACAAGAAGTGTCAGAAACAGCACAGGCTCTTTCCTGTTCAGCTAGTAGGTAGCAATTCTATTATCTAGCATCTCATGCCTGGGTTACATTAAAACAGGGAGTGAGAACAGGTGAGTCTAGAAGTGTAACTCTAAAAGGGACCACCATACATTTGAACCAACAGTTGTATTAAAGATGCTGCTAATGTCAGCCATTGAGTGGACTAAAGGATCTCTTATGTAAAAATTTGGGAGTGATATGAGAGATCTGATATTCTGTTAAGCTACCTTCAGAAGATACTTCCTGTGAAATTCTAATGACAGCATTATCCTGCCAAGCGAAAGAGGCAGCAAAGAGCAAGGACAAATTAAGAGGAGTAGGAGCCTCATCATGGTGGGAAGCCTTGTTCTGACATCTTGAGAAAAGCTGTCCACAGTGTGAAGTTGTCAATTTCTTGTCCTGGTTTGCAGTTTCAGTGTCTCTAGTTATGGTGTTGAACATATTGGTGAGCTCTGAGTGGCCCACACCTTAGGCATGAGTGTTTTCCCATGAAATTTACATTGAGTTATCCATCTGTAGCTTATAGAGCTTCAGGAACAGAGCAGACTTTGTTCTTAGTGATTCCATGACAGAAAATGGGATTGAAGAAAGTGAAAGAATGCAGGGTCCACTCTAGCCTACAGGTGGATAATAAAAACTCAGTAACAATGTACAAAGTGACAGCCTCATAACAGGTGTACTATAGTTTTTCTTTTCAACATAATTTCTCTCCATAGGCATCTCTATTTCTACCAAAGATAATCCCAATAAGACAAATTTGTTTTCTTTTAAATAAGTTTATTTTCATCAAACTTGGCCTCATTCTTTTCATAACTGCAGCAAGAGTAGCGACTGACCACATAGACTTTTTAAAAGTTGCTTCGCTGGAAGTTTTTATAGGGAATCTCAGATTCAACTTTTAGAAGTTTAGTTGACACTAGGAAGCCAATCTAAGGCTGACTTCAGACTTTGTCTGCAGTACCTATGGGTTTATAACCTATGGGTTTATATCCTCAAATATGACATTCTCGTCAAAGTCTTAGTAATATAATCAATGTTTTCAAATGTATTCTGTTATACAAAGAGCAGAGTTATTGAACTTGTACAATAAACATATTACCATACAATATAAATATTCATGAATAGTTTCTCAAGTCTGGAGCGATCACATAGGGAGAAAATGTAAATGTCTCAATGTTTGTTCACAAAAGTATATTTTATCAAATTGTTGTAAGCTGTAGATAGCTCAAAGGAAAAAAAGTTTCCTGAAATCTGGGAAACAAGACATTTAAAGAATCAGCAAAATTTCAAATAAAAATTTATGAAAATATTATCCTCATTAGTTCATTTGGTCCCATGAAATTAATTATTTTCTCTGCTTGATCTTGGTCAGCAGTTTCGTGAAGCTGTCAGTTTGTTCATTAACGTTTTGGAAATTCTCAGACAGTCCAGTGGTATCAGAAACTTGCATTCAATAGTACAGGTCAGAGTCTTTTCTTTCATATATATATATATATATATATATACTTTTTTTTTTTTTAATATGGAGTCTTGCTCTGTCGCCAGGCTGGAGTGCAGTGGCGCGATCTCGGCTCACTGCAATCTCTGCTTCCCAGGTTCAAGCGATTCTCCTGCCTCAGCCTCCCGAGTAGCTGGGACTACAGGAGCGCGCCACCACGCCCAGCTAATTCCGTAGAGGTGGGGTTTCACCATATTGGCTAGGATGGTCTCGATCTCTGGTCAGAGTCTTTTCTATAAATATCCTTGGTAAAGAGGCAATTTTAGACTGTAGCTGTTGCAAATGCTTTAAGGAAGAATCAAAACAACTGTCTGTGAATGACAAAGATTTAAAATGAGTATGGTTAAAAATCTGATGAGAATTTATTATAGTAAGAACACAACTCACATAGAAATTTAGTTACTTCTGTGGCATATGACATTATGGCTGACAACCTGTTAGATTTCTAGAATTTCTTATATAACTTTTGGAACACTCACATCAATAACATACCCATAAATATAACTTAAAGAAGGTTTAGCATCACTTATCATTTGACAGTGCTTCCCATATAATTTAACATGTCAAATAAGATGGCCTTTCCATTTAGCTTCTGTTTCTCAACTGGATTCCTGAGTTCCTGATGGAGCCCATTAATGAACAGGGCCAACAAAGTATAGGCTTATGTATGTTGAAAAACTCCATAGGCAATTCTAATACTCCTAGCTGAAAGTCATGGGTTTAGCCCCAAGTCCTACCTATTTAGAACAGGGTTTCTCCACCCTGGCTACACATTAGTAGCATCTGGGGAGGCTTAAAAACTATAAATGCCTCGGTCCCACTCCAGATCAGTAAATCGGAATTTAGGGGTGGGGCTTAAGTATCCATTTTATAAAATGTTTCTGAGTGATTCCCACGTGTAGCTATATTTTCCATCAGATTTCTCTGATTTCTCGTGATGTTCACTCCTTTCTATTTTGGTATTACGATTATTTTTCCGGTTTTGTCTCCTGTCATAGAATTAAGGACCTTGCCTTCTTCATTTCTGTATCTGCTATGAACACATGAATTGGTTATCAGGAAAAGGTTCTCAGCCACAGGTAGGTTGTGTCCTGAGCTTAAGACTTATATGTTAATGCTACAGTCTTTGTTCTTCATGAGGTCAGAAGTTGCTTGTGATGAAGGGTGTGGGTAACTCCACAGTGCAGGTGGTGGAAGGAGGTCACCCCGTTTGACATGTTTTTAGGTGTAACATTGGAACTAAGAATTCTATGTTCATATGGGGTGGAGAGGCAGGGATGTGTAGGGAGACAGATCTAATTCAGATGACGGAATTATACAAGGGAGTGGTGGTAAAGGAATCGAGAAAGCTTAGTAAAGAGAAGAAATGTGAACTTATCTAATAGACCACAGTAGGTCCCTGTGTCTTCTTGAGTAGGCGAGTGAACTAGATTTTAGGAAGGTAATGAGGCAGTCATATGCAAGAAACATTTCGAAGACTGGCAACAAGGGGTCAAGCAGGACTTTGAGCAGTTGTTGAGGTTTATGGGAATGGAGAGAATGACACAAGTGAGAGATGTTAAAAAAGGACCAAGAGGCTTTGACAATGTATTGAATTTGGGAAACAAATGAGCAGAGGCTGGGGATAATTATGTCTAAGAGACAGTGGAGTACAGGGAGCATGAAGACCAGGGAAGAAGAGACCTGCAGGAATTAGTGCTGAGAAGCAGGAGCTTGGGGGTAGGAGGAGGAGATCCAGTCCCAGATACAGGCGAAGAAGTCCTTTCTCTCTCCCAAACATGGCAGTCAGCACTGCAGGAAACTGAACAAGAGGAAAGGCTGTCATACCTACCAGTCTTTCTTAATTGCAGAAACTACACCAGGGCTGCTACATCAGAGCAACCCCAACCAGTATTCCCATTATGATGCTGACAGTAGCCCTAGCTGAGAGACCAGAACTTCCAGGTGCTGAATCGCCTGTCATGGAAAGAAAAGAGAAGGAATCAATGTGATGTTATTTTGCAGTGGAGTGCCCCAGGTTCCATCTCTCAGCATGAAGTAGTCTCTACTTGTTCCTTCAAGGAATGAATTAGTTTTGTGGGAAGGTTGCAATTTTTTTTCTCTCTCACTGTGTTTCTAGTTGGTGATCAGTCTTCTGTCAATTCTACCCTGGCCTTTCTGCACTCAGATATTTCCGAAGGCCTTTGAAATTTGAGAAAGACTGATTGCTATTTTTGCGTGGCATTAGAACTTTCTATCTTTTCATGGTTGCATCTTTTTCTCAGTGTCTCAGTTGTGGCAGGCAAAAATAAGAGTCTGTTGGGTCTCCATGGCAGGGACTTGATTGACAGAAAGCCCAGGCTAGTGCATTCTGTATTTACTGAGTCCGTTGCACAGAGAACTGGCTTCTCATGGGTTCCCAGCAGGGGAATGAAAAGCCCAGTTTTGGGAAACTCTGCTTCTCTCTCATGGGTGAGGGGCTTGAGGATGCCCCACCAACCTTGTGGAAACTCTGAGAACTGCATCACTATCTAAAACTCTCTCCTCTTTCTCCTTTTCAGGAATCAGATCTGCATCGTGGTCTGAGGGCTCTCTTAGGCTCCTCCCACTTCCCACTTTTCCTCATGGTGGTTTTCTCCAGTAAATTATCTTGCATCTCTAATTCCATCTTGGTTGCATCTCAGTGGATGAAAACTAACATACCAGGCTTGATTCTTTGCACTTAACTTTTTTTCTCTCCCCCACTTTTAGCCAGTAACCATGTCCTAGTGTGTTTTCATTTGGGGCTTAGCTCTCACCAGTCAACTCAAGCTGGTGATTAATGCTATGTTAGCTACTTTAAATGCTTTTCTGGTATCTCATTTGATCCATACAATAACCCTGTTGGGTAGGCATGATTTCCATTTTACAGATGAAATGACAGAGGCTTGGAGTAGTGAAAAAACTTATCCAAAGTCAAATGATTAGTGAGAAGTGGATCTAGTCAGGCTGTAGAACTGCCTGACTTCAAGCTAATAATACCAGTAGTGATAATAGCAGCTAATATTTATGAAGTTTCCCTCGGTGTGTGGCATTTTACTGAAGGCTTAATCGAATATTACGTTAAATCTTTAAAACAATACTATTGAACAGTCACTCTTATTGCAATTTTCCTTTTTCCCTCCATTTCCTGGTGATGAGAATTATTACAATTTTCAGTTGAAGAATTGAAGGCTCAGAGAAGTTAAGAATCTTGTGTGAGAAATTTAAAATGGTAAATACGTTAAAAATAAAGAGAGATCTCATATTAACAACCTAACTTTACAACTTCAGGATATAGAAAAAGAACCACCTCAAACCACAGATAGTACATGAAGGAAATAAGGATTAGAGTTGAAATAAATAAAATGGAAAATGGAAAACAATAGAAGGAATCAATGAAACCAAAAGTTGGTTCTTCAAAAAAGATCAACAAAATTGACAGTCATTTATTAGACTGGCTAAGAAAAAAGAGAGAAGATTCGAATTACTAAAATCAGAAATGAAAATGGAGGTATGGTGGCTTACATAATTAATCCCAGCACCTTGGGAGACTCAAGCAGGAAGATTGCTGGAGGTCAGGAGGGCGAGACCAGCCTAGGCAACATAGGGAGACAGTCTCCACAAAATTTCTTAGAAAACTATCCAGACATGGTGGCACATGTCTGTAGTACCAGCCTCTCAAGGGACGGGGATAGGAGGATCACTTGAGCGCAGGAGTTGAGTCTGCAGTAAGTTGTGATGGTACTACTGCACTCTAGCTTGGGCTGGGCTACAGAGTGAGACCCTGTCTCTTGAAAAAAAAAGAAAGAAAAAATATTGAGATATTGCCAGCAATGCTACAAATTCTACAGAAATATTAAGGACTACAAGAGTGCTATGAATAATTGTATGCCAGCAAACTGTTGAATGACCAAGATGAAATGGACAAATTCCTGGAAACACACAAAAAATTAATTTTAATAGACCTATAATTAGATAGAACCAATAAAAGTATTTGACAAAATTCACCACTCTTTCATAACAAAAACACTCCAATTATGAATGGAAAGAAACCACCTCAGCATAATAAAGGCAATATGTGCAAAGCCCAATGCTAACATGATACTCAACGGAGAAAGACCGAAAGCTTTCCCTGTAAGACCAGGAACAAGACAAGAATGCCTGCTTTTGCCACATCTATCCAACATAGTATTAGAAATCCTAGCCAGAGAAATTAGGCAAGAAAAAAAAAGACATCCAAATTGAAAAGAAGAAGTAAAATGATCTCTGTTATCAGATAACTTAAACTTATATGTAGAAAACCCTAAAGATTAAAAGAACCTGTCTGAGTTAATAAATAAATTTGATAATGTTGCAGGATACAAAACCAACATGCAAACATCAGTTGTACTTCTATATATTAACAATGAACAATCTAAAAGGAAATTAAGAAAAAATTTCCAATTTACATTAACATAAAATCCAAGGAGGTGAAAGGATTGTACCCTGAAAACTATAAAACATTGCTGAAAGAAATTAAAGACAGCATCAATAAATGGAAAGACATTTTTTTTCATGAATGGGAAAACTCAATATTGTTAGGAGGACAATACTGCCCACAGTGAGCTGCAGGTTCAATGCAATTCCTACCAGAGTCCCACTGACATTTTTTGCAGAAACAGAAAAACCTATCCTAATATTCATATGGACTCTCAGGACTCTAAATAGCCAAACAACCTGGAAAATAAAGAACGAAGCTGGAGGACTCACACTTCCTGATTTCAGCATTTGCTATAAAGCCACAGTAATCAATACAGTGTGGTACTAGCATAAAGGAAGATATGGAAACCAATGGAATAGAATATAGAGCCCAGAAAGAAACGCTTGCATATATGGCCAAATTATTTTTGACAAGGGTGCCAAGACCATTTAATGGGGAAAGGATATTTGTTTCAATAAATGATATGGGGAAAGCTGAATACCCATGCACAAGAACAAGTTGAATCTTTGCCTGACACCATATATGAAAATTAACCTAAAATGGATCAAAGACCTAAATGTAAGAGTGAAAAGTATAAAACTCTGAGAAGAAAACAGGGAAAAAAGCTTAATGACATTTAATTTCATGGTGATTTCTTGGTTATAACAACAAGTAGGCACCAAAAGAAAAAAATGGATAAACTGGACTTCATGAAAATTAAAAACTTTTTTTTTTTTAATGGAGTCTCGCTCTGTTGCCCAGGCTGGAGTGCAGGGGTGTGATCTCGGCTCACTGCAAGCTCCGCCTCCCAGGTTCATGCCATCCTCCTGCCTCAGCCTCCTGAGTAACTGGAACTATAGGCACCCGCCACCACACTGGGCTAATTTTTTTTTTGTATTTTTAGTAGAGATGGAGTTTCACCGTGTTAGCCAGGACGCTCTTGATCCCCTGACCTCATGATCCACCCACCTCGGCCTCCCAAAGTGCTGGGATTACAGGCATAAGCCACTGTGCCCAGCCTTGAAAATTAAAAACTTTTATATATCAAAGAACATTATCGAGAAAGTGAAAAGGCAACCTATGAAATGGGAAAAGTATTTGCAAATCATATATCTGATAGGGAATTAATTTCCAGAATAGATGAAGAACTATTACAAATCAACAACCACAAAAATCCAAAAACCCAATTAATAAATGGACGAAGGATTAAAGTAGAGATTTCTCCAAGGAAGAGATACAAGTGGCCAACAAGCACATGCAAATATGCTCAACATCACTAACACTTAGAGATATGCAAATCAAAACCACAATGATACTCCACCTCACACACATCAGGATGGTCACAAAACAGTAAGTGTTTTCAAGGAGGTTGAAAAATTGAAACTCTAGTGCATTGCTGACAGAAATGTGAAATATTAGCTCCTATGGAAAATGGTATGGTGGTTCCTCAAAAAATTAAAAAAATAATTAACATTTGATCCACCAATTTCACTTCTGGACATACACCAAAAAGAATTGAAGGCAGCAATTTGAACTGACATTTGTATACTGATGTTCACAGCAGCATTACTCACAATAGCCAAAAGATGGGAACAACTGAAAAGTCCATTGAAAGATAAGTGGATAGAAAAATGAGGTATGTCCATACAATGGAATGTTATTCAATCTTAAAAAAGAATAAAATTGTGATACATGGTGCAAAATGGATGAACCTTGAAAACATTATACTAAATGAAATACAGCAGACACAAAAGGACAACTATTATATAATTCCATGTATGTAAGCTCATTAGAATAGTTGATTACCTAGAGACAGAAAGTAGAATGGAGGTTACCAGGGTTTAGGGGGAGAAGGAGTGAGAGTTACTGTTTATCGGGTACAGAGGTTTAGTATGTTAAGATGAAAAAGTTCTGGAAATGGATACTGTGAAGGTTACACAAGAGTATAAAGATACTTGATTTATTTTTCCTTTTGTTTTTTTTTTGTGACAAGAGTATCACTTTGTCACCCAGGCTGGAGTGCAGTGGCACAATCTTGGCTCACTGCAACCTCCGCCACCCAGGTTCAAGCAATTCTCCTGCCTCAGCCTCCCTAGTAGCTGGTATTACAGGCATCTGCCACCATGCCTAGCTATTTTTTTTTTTTTTTTTTTTTTTTTGTATCTGGAACTCCTGACCTCAAGTGATCCACTTGCCTTGGCTTCCCAAAGTGCTGGGATTACAGGCATGAACCACCACACCGGGCAATATACTTGATTGATATTTATGCTGTGTCACTTAACTGTACACTTAGAAATGGTTAATGGTAAGTTTTATGTTAGATATATATACTGGCTGGTGGACTTACCCTCTCTATAAATCCACACTTTCTGGCACTGCCCCTTCCCTCCCATGCAGAGCCCCTGTGGCTGAATCTCCCGATTTCTCCAAGTGTGTGCCACTCACTGTCCTCTGTGCTGTGTCCCATGTGCTGGGTCCACAGCCTTATACAGCCAGTGACTTCAGAGCCAGGACACAGCTCAGGAGTCTGTCCCGAGGCTCCCTCTTTTCCCATTTCCCTGCAACCTGACCCGAGGGAGGCTGTGCTGTGGATTGGCAGCTCGATTTAACCAGATTCAGAACAGGCCACCTTTACACCTTCTCCACATGCCCCGGTCCCACCCCAAGTGGAGCCAGGGCAGAGCCAGTCACCAGGTGAGCCGGGCGCAGAGCAGGGAGCAGAGTCTGAGTTGCTCCTCCCTCATCCAAGGGGCTTCCTCCTCTCATTTGGGGAAAAAGTGTGAGCTTGTTTCAAAACCTCCTTGTTCCTTGTAGCTCATAGAGTAGGTTAAAAAAACACAAAGAGGTGACAGAAAGGGACATATTGGTGATAGAGAGGAGAAACTCGACCTTAAGAACCCTTCTTTCTCCTGGACTATGAAGCCCCTTTCACTATAGGGGGCCTTCTGGGGCTAAGGGAGCCCTCTCCCCACATTCCAGGCTGGACCCGAGGTCAGCCATGAGATATCAGAGAAGCCGGGGAGGAGAGAGTCGGCCGAGATGGAGTGAGAGGGCTCAGGGTAGAATCTGGGATTTCCTTGTGCTCATGGAACACAGACTGGGCAAGAAAATGTCTTCTTGGCTCTTTTGTGAGAACCAGATAGACTCCACCCCAAAACGTGATGCTGGTGCTCCAGGGAGGCCACTTACCAGAGGAGACTGAGATGTTCTTGACTATGGAGTTATTGCGACCAGTAGCCAAGTTAGAGACAAAACAGGCATAGGCCCCGTTATTGTTTGATGTGATTTTGGAGATAAAGAGAACTTGTGTGTGTTGCCGCAGTGTCCCATTGATAAGCCAAGAATACTGCGGGGATGGGTTAGAGTCCGAGTGGCAGGAGAGGTTGAGGTTTGCTCCCGAACGGTAAGACAAGTCTGGGGGGGATATGATGGGGGTGTCCGGGCCATCTGGAACAAAGAGAACAAAGCCACAGGTGATGTCATCAGAGGAAAGGGGAAGCTCCTGATTGTAGAAGGGCCACAGTGTCCTTCTGAGTCCTGTCCCAATCCTGTGTTAAAAAGTCTAAACCATAACCCTCATGTTCCCTGAGTCTGGGTCTGAGACATTCACTTGTTTCTCCCATCACAGGCTGTGGACCCTGAGCCTCCCAAGACAGGAGCAGCTCCTCCCCTCTTATTCTTGGTCCAGGCTGGGTTTGCCCTAGTTTTCCCAGGGCAGGAAGTTATGGCCAGCCTGGGTGTCCAGGAGTGGCGGTCTGAATCTTTGGACCTGAGGAGAACTGAGAGTCCTAACTTCTGGCTGTATGGATTTGGGTTGGAAACCAGGGCCACAGAGGAACAGAAGATACTCACAGGTGACATTCAGGGTGACTGGGTCACTGCGTTTTGCACTCTCTGAGTTCTGGATTCCACATTCATAGGGTCCTGTGTCATTCCGTGTGACACTGAGTAGAGTGAGGATCCTGTTGCCATTGGAGAGCTGCAGCCTGGGACTGACCGAGAGGCTCTGATTGTTTACCCACCACAGGTAGGTTGTGTTCTCAGTCACAGGTTCACAGGTTAAGGTCACAGCATCCTTGTCCTCTATGGGGTTGGAGTTGTTGCTGGTGATGTAGGGCTTGGGCAGCTCCACTGTGTAGATAACAGAGAAGATTGCCCTGTGTGGCACCTTTGATTCCTCACAGGCATCTTTCAATCAGAGTTGGCATCTCCCACCCCTCAGCCCACCTGAGTCCTTAAAAGCCCAGGGCAGGTGTGTGTGTGTCACAAGACAGATGCACAATGATCTGAGGGCTGAGACTGTAAGGCCGGCTGCTTTGTGTGGGAGAAGCACAGACTTTTCTCAAGTGTGAATTGGGCAGTAGCGTTGGGTTGTGGACAGACACAGGACTGGGGGTCACAGCTCCCAGCACTTCTGGTCCTTTCCTGACTGGCTGGCTGCCTGGCCCATTGGGGTCCTCACCTGGAATTGGAAGGAGCTGAGTTTCTTCCAGCTGCACGGTCCCACACCACCCAGCCAAGGTATGTTCTCTCTGAGGCTTTGCTATTTAAGGGCATCCTAGAGATGGGTGATGATGGGGATGTGTGTTTGAGCAGAAATAGTGCAGGAGACTAGGAGCAAGTCTAAAGGTGACAAGTCAGGGGTCAGACTGTGGGCCACAGGTGGGGCAGCTCTGCCCAGGAGTTTGATGGGAACAGAGTTTCATTTTGGGAGGAAGAAGAGTTGTGTGGACAGATGGTGGTGATGGTAGCAGAACAAGGGGAATATATTTAATACCACTGAACTGCACGTGTAGAAAGGTTAAGATGGTAAGTCTGTGATAGATATGCACTGTTACCTTCTGTATAAATACACAATTTTTGACACTGCCCATTCCCTGCCATGCAGAGCCCCTGTGGTGCATCTCCTGATTTCTCCAAGTGTGGGTCGCTCGCTGTCCCCTGTGCTGTGTCCCATGTGCTGTGCCCACAGCCTCATATACCTGATGACGTCAGAGCCAGGACACAGCTCAGGAGCCTGCCCTGAGGCTCCCTTTCTTTCCATTTTCCTGCAGCCTGACTGGGACGACGGGAGGCTTTGGTGTTGATTGGCAGCTTGATTTAGCCTAATTCAGGATAGACCACCCGGGCTCCTTCTCCACACACGCGGGTCCCACCCCAGGTGGAGTCAGACAAGGCCAGTCACGGGGGGGAGCCCAGAGCAGAGCAGGGAGCAGAGTCTGAGCTGTTTCTCCCTTACCCAAGGGGCTTCCTTCTCTCATTTGGGAAAAAAGTCTGAGCTTGTTTCAAAGCCTCGAATGTTCCTTGCAGTTCACGGAGTAGGCAAAAGAACACAAAGAGGTGATAGAAAGGGACAGATTGGTGACAGAGAGAAGCAACTTGACCTTGAGAACCCTTGCTCCTTCCACTCTGTGAAGCTTCCTCCACTACACAGGGCTCGGGGGCTGAGGGAGCCTCCTCCCCACATTCCAGGCCGGACCCGGGGTCAGCCATGAGAAATCAGAACAACACGGAGAAGAGAGTCTGTAGAGACACACTGGCGAGGTCCAGCGGGAGAATCTGGGATTTGCTTGTGCCCATTGGACACAGGCTGGGATAGAGAATTTCTTCCTGGCTCTTCTCTGAAAACCAGACAGACTCCACCTCAAAACGTGATGTCAGCGCTCGTGGATCCACTTACCGTAGACTGTGATCGCCGTGACTGTGGTCCTATTGAGGCCAGTGGCTGAGTTATGGGCTTGGCACATATAGGATCCGCTATTATTCACGGTGATGTTGGGGATAAAGAGCTCTTGTGTGGATTGCTGGAACGTCCCATTGACAAACCAAGAGTACTGTGCAGTTGGGTTAGAGGCTGCGTGGCAGGTGAGGTTCAGATTTTCCCCTGCTCTGTAAGGTGTGTTTAGAGGGGAAATGGTGGGCGCATCCGGGCCATCTGGAGCAAAGAGAATAAAGTCACAGGTGATGTTGTCAGTGGGAAGTGGAAGTTCCTGGTCTGTGGAAGGACCATGGTGTCCCTCTAAGCTGAGTCACAACCCTAAAGTCTCAATCAAATCCCTCTTGTATCTACTGAGCCTGAGTCTGAGACATTCACCTGTTTCTCCCATCACAGGGTGTGGACCCCGAGCCTCCCCGGACGGGAGCAGCCCCTCCCCTCCTATTCTTGATCAAGACTTGGTCTGCCCAGGGTTTTCTGGGGCAGAAAGTCACAGACAGTCTGGATGTCCAGGGGTGGCGGTCTGTGTACTTGAACCTGAGAGGGACTGAGAGGCCCGGCCTCTGGCCCTGTGGATTTGGGCCGGCAGCCTGGGCCAGAGAGGAGCAGAGATACTCACAGAGGACATTCAGGGTGACTGGGTCGCTGCGTCTGACACTCACTGGTGTTTTGGGTTGTCAATTTGGTAGGTTGTTGTGTCATTTGGAACTATTGAATACAGTGAGGTCCTGTTGTCCTGGACAGCTCCAGCCTGGGGGATCTGACCGGGAGGCTCCTGATTGATTTACGCACCACAGGTAGGTTGTGTTGCTGAGTCTCGGTTCACGGTTAAGGCCACAGCATCCTTGTCCTCACCGGAGGGTATGGCAGTTGTTTGCTGAGGATGTAGGGTTGGGCAGTCCGTGGTGCAGGTAACAGAGGAAGATTGACCCTTGTGTGGCACCTTTGATTCATCCACAGGCATCTTTCAATCAGAGTTGGCATCTCCCACCCCTCAGCCCACCTGAGTCCTTAAAAGCCCACGGCAGGTGTGTGTGTCACAAGACAGATGCATGATGATCTGAGAGCTCTGAGGCCATCTGCTCTGTGCGGGAGAATCACAGACTTTCTGTGAATTGAGCAGTAGCATTGGGCTGTGGACAGACACAGGACTGGGGGGAGGGTCACAGCTCCTGGTGCCTCTCCTGGTTCCTCCCTGACCAGCTGACTGCCTGGCCCACCTTGGGGTCCTCACCTGGAATGTGCAGGTGCTGAGTCCCTTCCACCTTCAGTCCTGCTTTGTTTCCCTAGGTGTTTTTTTTTCTGCAGCTTCCCTGTCTAGGGACATCCTAGAAATGGATGACGATAGGACTTCCCATTGTCCTTAAACCCTGTAGATATTGTACAGGCTGGCCTGGGACTGGATGTTTCAGCAGAAATAAGACAGGGGACACCAGAGGCAAGCCTGGAGGTCAGCTCAGTCGTCAGGCAGTGGAGGCACAAGGTGGGGCAATTTTCCCCAGGTGTTTGATGATGACTGACTTGAGCCAGTGACCCTAAAGATAGAGTGGAGTCCAGGGAATGATCTAGAAAAGAGTGAGGTGACAGGCAGGAGCTGCCTGGATTTAACAGCAGAACCATATGTATATTCTTTGTCTTTGGTCTTTTTTTTGTTTGTTTATTTTTCAAGATGGAGTCTTGCTGTGTCAGCCAGGCAAGATCTTGGCTCACTGCAACCTCTGCCTCCCGGGTTCAAGCAATTCTCCTGTCTCAGCCTCCCGAGTAGCTGGGACTACAGGCGCCCACCACCATGCCTGGCTAAATTTCGTACTTTTAGTAGAGATTGGGTTTCACCATCTTGGTCAGGCTGGTCTTGAACTTCTGACCTCAGGTGGTCTGCCCACCTCAGCCTCCCAAAAGGCTGGGATTATAGACATGAGCCACTATGCCCAGCCTGTCTTCAGTCTTTAATGTCCCTTCTCCCCTTGCAGAGGGCAGGTGAGGACCTGTGGATCTCTCCATAAATACATGTGGACATTTGCAAATGCAGAACTGACTGGTGGAAAAGGGAAAGCATGAACTGCTGGAAATCTGGCCCTCAAGGACCATGTGTGTTTGACAGTTATGAGATAGAACTTTGAGAAGAAATTTTGCAATTATTTTCTCCCATTTGACATTATGCTAAATGAAATAAGCCACTCACAGAGCAGATACTGTAGGATTCCACTTATATGAGGTCCCTAGAGTAGCCACACTCGTGGAATCAGAGAGTAGAATGGTGGTTATCAGGGCCTGGGAGGTGGGGGAATGGAGACTTGTTCATGGCTCTGCAGTTTCAGTTACGCAGGATGAGGAGGTGCTAGAGATCTGCTGTTCAGCTTGGTGCCTATAGTTCATACAGATTGAGTATCTCTCATGCATAAGGCTTAGGACTTATGTTTTGGATTTTTGACTGTTTTTGAGTTTTGAAAATATTTGCAGTATACTTACCAGTTTAGCATCCCAAATCTGAAAATACAGAATCCAAAGTGCTCCAGTGAGCTTTTCCTTTCCTTTCCTTTCCTTTCCTTTCCCTTCCATTCCATTTCTCTCCCTCGCCCCCTTTTTTAAAATTTGAGATGGAGTCTCACTCTGTTGCCAGGCTGGAGTGCAGTGGCACAATCTCAGCTCACTGCAACCTCCACCTCCTGGGTTCAAGCTATTCTCCTGCCTCAGCCTCCCAAGTAGCTGAGACTACAGGCACGCACCACCACACCCAGATAATTTTTGTATTTTTAGTAGAGATGGGATTTTATCATGTTGGCCAGGATGGTCTTGATCTCTTGACTTCATGATCCTCCTGCCTCGGCCTCCCAAAGTGCTGGGATTACAGGCGTGAGCCACCACTCCCAGCCTCCAGTGAGCATTTCTTTTGAGCATCATGTCAGTGGTCAAAAAATGTTGGATTTTGGAGCATTTCAGATTTTGGATTTTTGGATTTGGGATACTCAACCTGTAATACTATAATTTGCCCTTAAAAATTTGTCAGTAGTTTTGATCTCATGTTATTTTCTGACTATAGTTTAAAAAAATGAAAGACATTTGGGGGAAACATTAAATTTTTTCCAGAAATAGAAATTGTTGTTAATGGCCTAAAGATCTAAGATCAGTTGCTGGAAGTAGTACTTCTCTTGATATTATACGAAGGTTTAGGTCTGCTCTCAATTCCAGTGGGATCACATTATGCTCAAAGGCAGATGCTGAAGATGGTTTGAAATCAGTGACTCCCTGAGTAGAGAGAAGGGTATGAGTCCTGTTAGGAGGACAGAACCGGTCAGAGAGGAAGTCTTAGGTGTGTCAATTACATAAAGGGAGAAATGATGCCAAATTAGGAGAAGCGATGTGTGTTATGTTAGTAAGTTTAGAAAGCGCTCCCTGCCCCTGGTTCCTGTGCAGAGTTAGGCAAAAAGAGGAGAAGCCCCAAATCAGGCATGTGAAAGATTTTCTTCCTCTCCTATCAACCTCAGAAAGCGCAACTAGAGTTTAAGTTTGTATAACTGGGCAGAGTCTAAGTGAGACGCCAGTGGCTGGTGCACTTCTCAGTCCAAGGGACCCCACCTTATGACAATGGCATCATCACGAGGACACAAGTATATGTAGAATGGACAGCAAACCCATCAGACAGCACCTGCTTGGCCAGCTGCACCTGGGGGAGGCCCCAGGATCCACTGGAGGATGTGAGCCCCACACCAGGATGAAGATGGAGTAGGTAGTGAAATGGGTGGAATAAGCATGTGGGCTTTGGGGACTGCAGACCTGTCCTTCTGCCTCTGACCTCCTGGTGAGTCAGTGTAGGAAGTGGATGGAGGAGTTGCTCATCCTTGTCCTGCTGCCTGTTCTGTGTGTTGGCCTCATGGAGGTAAAGAGCCCTGGGCGGGGACACAGCGGAAGCTCATTCTCCTGGTGACCTGTTGACATTGGCTTGTGATGGAGCCTGGCAGGAGCGGCTGCTCCAGCTGATTTCTGTGCCTTCTCTATTGCCTGGGAAGTGGGCCAGGCCACAGTGTGAGCGGGAAGAAAACAGGACAGCCAGCCTTGTTCGAGGGAGTGTCTGGGGAAGGCCTAAGAGTGGAGGGAGATGTTCAGGGATAGGCATCTCAGCTGGAATGAAGAGGGAGGAGCACGGAGGAACAGGAGACAGTCAGAAATGCCCATGGCAATGAGACATGCGGGGTATAGTGACCTCAGAGACCCCAGGAGTAGGAGTCCCTTGGCTGTCCCGACCAGGACCAGGGAGCCTTGAAAACCCTCCCATGGCCAAGGAACCCCAGAGTCACATGAGATAGGATTACTTTCAGGACAGGGGGTCAGAAGAATGGTACATGGATCTTAGCCCCTGACGGACAGGGAACCGGCCAGAACTTCCTAGGATTCTGCATCCAGGATCCAGTCTCTATAGAGATTATGGATCATTCCTTCATTCATTCTCTCCTTCATGAGAGAGCTACTGAGCAAGAGTGTGTCTCACTTTGGGCCTGTGTTGGCGCAGGGGTGTGAGTGCGGAGAGAAAGCGAAATCCTTTCCTTTATCCTCCCATGGGAGTGACACTGCCTCGGGAAGCACAGGATTTCAGGTCCAGTGAGGGGGCTGTGGATCTAAGGGAGAGGCCTGGACAATCCTGGCACTGACCCTGACAGTTGAGGTGATTTAGTTCTAGAGTAAAACTGATTAGCTCTCCATTCACCTCTCACTCTCCGGACCAGAATCTCCACTTCTGAGCTGTGGATGCACAAGACAAAAGGAAGCAGACCCATGACTGGTCTCAGGTCTGCAAATGCCTGACAACAAACAGCCCCACCCACCCCGGGTTGAGGAGAGGAGGGGGCTCTGGCTGCAGACAGACCTCATATGTCTCTAATCTGCTGCCTATGGCCTGTGTGACCCTTGTTCGTGACTGTCTCCCTGTGCCTCAATTTCCTTTCAATAAGTAGGATAAGTGTTATTTGGCTGTGAGATTGTTTGTGAATTAACCTCAAAATATTTACGATCACTTGATCTCAGCTCTGCACAGAGGAACTGCCCAAATGAAGAGCATTTATGTTGATTTGCCTCCAAGAGAGAGGGCCCTGGGCCTGATCCCTGGTGGACAAGGAGCTGCCGGGAGCATCTTCTCTCCTCTGTTCCTCCTTCTGAGGACACTGAACTTCCCATGGAGTCACCTATGTCCCCAGGGCAATGGACTGATGCCCTAGTAACCTTGTCTATCTATCCTCCCCACATTGAGTCTCAAGTAAAGGACAAGGCTCTGTGCTTGCCCAGATGAGACGCTGGTGACAGGGAACAGGTGTGGCCAGAAACTCCAATTCTGCATCCAGAATCCAGCTCCAGGAGCCACGGCCCTTGGACAGCTGGTAAGTCCTTGCTCCCAATCAGCCTTGCCCAGGAGGCCACAACCTAGCCCTGGCACAGGTTCCCCTGGGTCACCTGGAGTCAGGAGCCCTGGGGCTGAGCTTCTCTGTGAAGATCCCAGGAAGTCCTTCAGGCCAGGCCCTGATCCAGTTCTCCAGGGTCTTTCTCAGGGTCAGGTTTATGGGGAAGGCATGGGGTGCTAGGCTGAGACTGACCTCCCCCTGCTGAGTCCCCCCATCAGACTGTCCTTCCTCTGCAGTGAGTGTCCGCAGGATCTGGATGCCAGAAAGGAATTCTGATCTGTTGAAGTTTGTCTCTTCTGTGTGTGTCCTGCACTAAATGTCCAAACCCTAACACGGCACGTAATACAGAGGGGGCACAGGCACAGCCCAGGCCTGAGAATCCCGTATGTGGGAAGTAGAACTGAACCCCAACACCCAGAGGTCATGGGGAATCACTCACGGTATACCCGGAAGCGGCCAGTTGCTTCTTCATTCACAAGATCTTCCTTTATGGCTTGTAGGGTGATGGATCCTGTGTCATTCTGGGTGACGTTCTGGATCAGCAGGGATGCATTGAAGTATATTGTCTCTCGACCGCTGTGTGCGGGCCCTAGGGTAATTTGTTGAATTCCTATTACATATGATCCAATTCGACGGCTGGCATCCACTCTTTCTCCCTTGTACCAGATGTAGCCAAAAAGATTATGGGGCAAATTGTGGGCAAGTAGAAGAACCTCCTTCCCCTCTGCAACATTGAACGGCCTGGATTCAATAGTGAGCTGGGCAGTGGTGGGCGGGTTCCAGAAGGTTAGAAGTGAGGCTAAGAGAGAGGAGAGAGCATCGGTCAATATTGGGATCTATGCATTAGGGTGGAAAAACGGGGCCCTGGGTCCTGAGCAGGTCTCTTCATCCCCCAGCCCCGGAGTGAGTGAGTGAGTGTGTGTGTATATGTGTGTCCTACTGGGTCAAGGTCAGCAGCATGACTCCTATTTCCTTAACACCTCCGACCTTGGCATTTCCCTCTGTGGAATGCTGCTCCCCAGGGGTCTGCGCGACTGCCTCCCCACTGGCCTCAGGTCCTGCTCACATCAGGGCATTCTTGGGAGACTCCGTCCCTGACACCTCCTCTAGAGACCCTGGTTCTTTTCTTTCTGACGTTTCCCTGCTCTGTTCCCACCAGGGCTCTTGTCAACACCTGACCTCACATTCTAGATCTCTTTGCCTGTCTGCCTTCCTCCCCATGAGAGCATGAGCTTCATGAGGGCAGGGACTTGTGTGATCTTGGGTGCACCTCAGTGCCTGGGACAGGCTGCAGACTCCTGTGATGAGCTCATGAGCCTTCTCAGGGCCCTCAACGGCCTGGGGTTTATTTTCCAATGTCTGCGGTAGGCGGGTGAGGACAATGTTTCATGCCCTGGTTATGTTTTTATTTAAAGTGTCATCTGATGCAGTTATTACGACTTTTAAAAATGTAGTGGCCAGTGACAATTAACTAGGAAAATAGAACGCTTGAGATTTTCCTGCCCCGTTCCAATTCCAGTTCAATTTGATTTTTCTGGTGTGACTCCTGTCTCTCTCTGATGTCCTCTTCCCTATTCAGGCTCCAACAGGAGCCCTCTGTCCGTCTCAGAGCCCTGTCCTCCCCAGGAGACCCCAGCCAGTCTCTGTGCCGCCTCCTCCCACCCTCTCCCAGGTTGTCCTCCCCTCACCTGTGAGCAGGAGCTTCTGCCAGGGGATGCACCGTCTGTGAAGAGGGGCTGAGGGAGACCCCATGGTCTCTGCTGTCTGCTCTGTCCTCTTCTGTGGAGAAGATCCTGAGTTCTAGGAACGCTCTTGTCAGGGCGGCTGTGACTGCCTGGTCTGCTGTCCTTCCTCCGTCTGTCCTGAGTCTCCTCCTACAGCAGGAGTACTTCTCGGCATCATGTGGGTCATGGGTGTGGCCTCTATTCAGGTGTCCTTTGTCCCCTCCCCTCTCATTTCTGCCTCTTTTGTCCCTCCTCCTTTTTCCCTTTTATTTTCAGTTCCCCAGACAAAGCTTTTCGGCAAGGTGGATGGACTCCCGTCCCCTGGGAGGACAACCTGCCTTCCCCAGTGCTGAACTCTACTGTGTTCTGGCCTTGGGTCTGTCACACCAGGGGGATTATTTTCCTTTGTGACAGAGAAACCCAGCTGGGCCCCGGGTCTCCCCACGCTCTCCAGTGCTCTGGGAAGGTGGGATGATGTTCAGTAGGAAGGTGACGGAGGTGGCTCTGGGAGATAGAAAAGGGCTCACTGGGTGGTGACTGGGGAGGGACCAACCCTCTGTCTCTAGTACCACCAGCCCGGTCTCTGACCCAGGGATGGAGACCCAGGCCCAGAGGTCTCAGGAGTCCCCAGCTTCTGCGTGTGGAGTGGGAGTTGTCTTGTGTGTCCTGGAAAGAGAGGACTGTGGTGGAGGGAGGTGGGTGGCTCTGAGCTCTGCTGTCCTTGGGGAAGGCTCCAGGGGGACCCTCCCTCTCCGTGTCTGTGGGCTGAGCTGTGGCTTAGGGCCTGTCCCTGTTCTCCCTGACTGTCCTGGGTGGTCTCCGTCCTCTGCGAGGCTGACTGTCCTGTGGTCACCCCACATTCCCCGTGGTGGTACCAGGAGGGAGTTGGGAGTTGCACAGGGACCCCTGGCAGAACATGGTACTCATAGAACCCAGAAAGGTACGAGGGAGAGATCAGAAGGGTCTGTTGGAGCAAGGGATGAAAACCAGGCTCCACCTACACTTCCTTAGCAAAGCCAGGTTCCTGTCCAGGGGAATCCATTTTCTGAGTGTTGTCTGTCTGCGATGTCGCCCCCTGGAGGGCAAAACGAGACCTGCGGCCTTGTCTGGAACTGCCCTAGGGATGCTGACCAGGGTCCACGTGGTGTGAGCTGACCCTGAACCCTGGATTAGGCTGCAGGGTCGGGGCGGCCCAGGTTCTATTCCATGCAGGCCTCTGTCCTCCCTTCTGAAGCTCCAGGAGTTGAGGACTCGTCCCTGGGGCAGCCGTGGGCACTTGCTGGCCTCCTCCCGAGCTGGTGCCAGTGCTCCTGTGTCCACAAGGAACAGACTCTGACTTCCGGGGGCCACACGGAGGTGATATGCTTCTTTTTAGATATCTCCCACACATTTAACCAGTATTTATTGAGCATCTGTCTCATGTCAGGCACTGGACTGGGCCCTGGGATTCCACAGAGAGCAGGACAGGCGTGGACCCTGCATCCACAGAGTTTTCCTGTAACAGGGAAGCAGGCGCTCAGTGAACTTCGTGGGTCTGAGGAGTTAATGGTAATGAGAGAAGGGCTGTGAGATGACAGCATTGGGGGCGTCGGAGCCTGTGAGAGACTGAGCTGTCCTGGACATCACAGGGAGCTGCCCTGGGAAATGCCCTTTCAGCTGAGCCTTGGGAAGAAGGGGGTGTCGGGGACAGGAGCTGCCTGCAGAGGGAGCCGCCTCAGGTGGGCGGCCGCCGGGCTGCAGGGAGGAGCTGACAGAATCTGTGTAGGGAGCTCGGAGGGCGAGGAGGACGTGGGCCGAGGTGACCCTGATGAGGGTGGACCCTGCTGGGCTGTGGGACCGGTTGAAGGAGGTCAGCAGCCTCTGGGGAGGCTCCAGGTTGGGAGGAACTCTGCCGCCCTCTGGTGGACAGGGAGGGAAGTGGGGACAGCAGCGACCCCAGACCAGGCTGTTTTACTCAACACTGATCTGTAGACGTTGAACACGGGTCATGCACATGTTATACCAAAGTGCCACCACGTTTCAGCTTGGTGAGCCCCAGTCTCTGTGGCCCCAAGTATACTGTCCTTCCTGTTTCACAATCAGATGTCCCTAAATGCAGATTTTTGTCACCTTTTGTGACTTTGTTTTTGTCTCCAGGAGGCTGCACTGTGCATGCCCCCAGGGGCAGTGATGTCTGGGGCTGAGCGCTGTGCGGGGATCTGGGAGTAGAAGATTGTATTAGTCTGTCCACGCATTGCTATAAAGAAATACCTGAGACTGGGTAATTTATAAAGAAAAGTGGTTTAATTTGCTCATCATTCTGCAGTTGTACAGGAAGCATAGTGGCTTCTGCTCCTGGGGAGGCCTCAGGAAACTTACAATCATTCTGAACGGTGAAGGGGAAATAGGAACGTCTTACATGGCAGAGCGTGAGTAAGAGAGAGAGAGAGAGAGGGGAGAGGTGCTACACATTTTTAAACAACCAGATCATGTGAAACCTCTATCACAGAAACAGTGTCAAAGCAGAAAATCCACCCACATGATCCAATCACTTCTCACAAGGCCCCACCTCCAACACTGGGGTTTACAATTTGACATGAGATTTGGGCGGGGACATAGATCCAAATCATATTAGAGAGGGAAGGGCATGAGGGGAAGGTGAATGTCAGGGGAGTAGAGAGGAGCAGGGGCAAGTCAATCTCACTTCTTATTCCCTGGGGACCAGAACAGGGGATCCCGACTCTGGGGGCACAGCACCACACACTCTCTGTGTCCCTGCATCAGGGGAGGTGAGAGTTTGTTCCCTGTTCATGGGACCTGGCCTCACCTGCTGAGATGTCTTCACACTTACAGTCCCACCCTGGGCTGCAACCACAGACTGGCCTGTGTCCTCCTCTCCTCTCCTGCCCATTCCTGGGTTTTCCTTCCTGCGCCATCTTCTCCAATATGTGGCTTCATCTGCCCCTGTTCCAGGCAGCTACCCCTGGATCTTTGCCCTGTCACCATATCTGGGCTCACTGGCCTCTGCCATTTGTTCTGAGCCATGAGCCCTGAGCCCTGTGAGCGAGGAAGGGTGAAGCTGGGGCAGAGTGGGTGCTGTCCAAGGTGCTGCCCTCTCTGGATAGCCTGAGTAAGGGACCCTGATGTGTCAGCAGGGAGGAGGCTCCGGGAGGGAGCTGTGTCAGGGATGCCTGGATCAGGGGGTGGGGGCACCTACGCCAGGGTGAGCTGGACCTGTGAACTGCAGGGACCCCGTTCTGTGTCATCCATCAGCTCCTCCAGCCCGTCTTCCTCTCTGTAGCTGATTCTCTGGTGTGATCCCTGAGCCCATGCTAGAGTCCTCCTCACAATGCCTGATGGTCAGAGGTGTGTGTGGAGACTTAATGGGGCAGGGGGTCTCGTGTGCTCACACAGAATGCCCCGGGAACAGGCTTCATGACCTCCCTTGTCCCAACCCCACAACAAGATCTGGACAGTGGGCTGGGTCAGATAAAGTCAGAATCCATGAGAAGGGGGTGTGTCCTGGCAGTGCTGAGGTTTGTGCCTCAGTCTCTTTGCAGATATATTTGTGTTGTGCATCTGCAGTTGGCTGGGAAGCCTCATGTCCTTACATCCTTGGTTATTTCTGTGCAGAAGGTCATGAGGGGCCTGTACATGGGTACAATGAGGACCGTCTGATTAAGACGGATGTATTTTACATGGTGGACTTTCCCTCTCCCCGTGTTTTTTAGATGTAGTAAAATATATAAGATAAAATATGCTACATTAATCATGTTAAGTGTACAATTAAATGCCATTAATTACATTCACAATATTCTACTTTCTCACCACTATATTTTTTTCCAGAAAATTTTCATCATCTCACATAGAAACTTCATACTATTAATCAATAACTCCCCACTTTCCCCTGCCCCTAGTCCTTGGTAGCCACTGATGCTACCTCTATTTTTTTTTTCTTGAGGCAGAATCTCGTTCTGTCACCCAGGCTGGAGGGCAGTGGTATGATCTCGGCTCACTGCAACCTCTGCCTCCCGGGTTCCAGCAATTCTCCTGCCTCAGCCTCCAGTGTAGCCAGGATTACAGGCATGTGCCACCATGGCTGGCTAATTTTTGTGTTTTTAGTAGAGACGGGGTTTCTCCATGTTGGCCAGGCTGGTCTCGAACTCCTGACCTCAAGTGATCCACCCACCTCCGCCTCCCAAACTGCTCGAATTACAGGTATAAGCCACCGCGCCCAGCCACTGATGCTATCTCTATGAATCTGCATAGTCTACATGTTTCATATAAATGAAATCATACACAGGTATCATTTTGCTTCTTGGCTATTTCTCTGAGCATAATGACTTTAAGGTTCACCCACATTATCGCTTCATTCCTCTCTATGGGTGAGTAATATTCCAACGTACCTCATTTCTTTACCCATTAATCAGTTGAAGGACATGTTTTTTTTTTCCTACATTTTTGATACTGTGAATAGTGCTGCAATAAACATATACCTAGAAGTATCTTTTTGAATCTTTGTGATTATTTCTTTGGGGTATACTTAGGAGCAGAATTGCTGGGTCATATAATTCAATGTTTAATTTTTTTGAGAAACAGCCAAATTGGTTTCCACAGCTTGCTGCGCAATTTTATCTTCCCACCAGTAATGTACAAGAGTTCCATTTTCTCCACATCCTTGTCAACACTTGTTATTTAATATCTTAAAAAAGTACAGCTGTCCTTGTAGATGTGTGTGTTTATTGGCTATTTTCATATCTTTTGTTGGATAACTGTTTATTCCAGTTGTTCACTCATTTAAAAAACTGGTTGGCCAGGTGCGATGGCTCACACTTGTAATCCCAACATTACAAGGTGGGTGGGAGGCCACCTTGGGAGGCCAAGGTGGGTGGTCTGGAGTTCAAGACCAGCCTGGACAAGATGGTGAAACCCCTCTCTACTAAAAATACAAAAAATTTGCCAGGCATGGTGGTGGGCGCCTGTAATCCCAGCTACTCGGGAGGCTGAGGCAGAGAATTGCTTGAACCTGGCAGGCAGAGGTTGCAATGAGTTGAGATCATGCCACTGCACTCCAGCCTGGGCGACAGAGTATAACTCTGTCTCAAAAACAAACAAACAAGCAAAAAAAAAAAAACCCCACAAAAAACAAAAACAAAAACAAACCAACAACAAAAAAACTGGTTATCCTTTTA